TTTTCTGATTTTTATGAATTTTTGGAATTTTTTAATTTTTTTATAATTTAATTAATTTTTATAATTTTTTATTATTTCCGCACGTAGAATGACCGACCGCTTTTGACGGTTCATGACACGAGGATGGAGGAGGAGCCGAGGTCGCGACTCGAGGACCTGACCTTTCTATTTCTATTTTTATTTCTGGAACAAAGAAATTTTTCTACTTCTTATTTCTCGCTCTAAATCTATTTATTTCGCCACTTTTCTATTCCGTGAAATAAAAATAAAATGCTACAAACTGATTTATTCTTTTTTTTGCTCCAAGCGAATGTACAATGCAAAAAATAGAAACAAAGCCGCTACCAAACGCGCCCTAGGCTCCGTTTGTTTCGAAAAAAATATTTTTTCTTATTTTTTCGACGGTTAAATCGCTTAGGAAAATGAGTCAACAAAAAACTTATGCTTAAATTTAGAAAAATGATTTCCTCTTTATAAAATCGAAAATTATTTTCTAAAATATGACTATATATCGACGTTTGGACTAGAAACTTGCCGTTGGGCACGTAAATTCTAACGCTCGTTCCCGAGTGCCCATCATGGGCGTGCAACCCCAGTGTACTTGCTTGGGTCCCCCATTGCTAGGCTTGAATCCACCAAGGTTGGATACGCGACCCCAGAGTACTTGCCCAAGTCCCCGACACTCGTGCCCAGATCCATCAAGGCTAGGCCCAAGACCCTAGTGCCAGTGCCCGGACCTAGGTCTATCGAGGCTAGGCCCAAGGCCCCGGTGCCCATTCCCGTGCCTGATGCCCTAGTGCTAAGGCGCAGGTCTACAAAGGTTAAACGCAGGGCCCCAGTACTCCGATCGCTAAAGCTCAAGCTCAGGTCCTAAGCACCCGAGCCTTGGTTCACAAAGGTCGTACCTAGGTCCCTGGCACTCGAGCTTGGGTCCCCAATGCCCATGCTCGAGCCTGGGACCCTGCCAAGGTCCGGCCCATATCCATTGATGTCGTGGTCTGGGTCTCTATGACTGTGCATGATTATCATAGTCTCGGACTCGGCATAGGCATCGGGGATCGAGACATGAGCACTTGGATCTTGAGCTCGGCTTCTACGTACCCAAGCCTGGGCGCTAAGGACTTGAAAATGAGCACCGGGGTCCCAAGCCCAACCTCGATGAACTAGGGCCAGGCCTCTATGGACCATGGCACAGGCAGTAAGGTCCTCGACTTCGGTCTCAATAGACCTAACCTTAGGCACGAGAGATACGGGCACAGAGACTTAGGTGTTGAGCATGGGCGCCGAGGACCCTACATGGGCACCAAGGTCCTGAGCCAGGCCTTGATGGACTCGGGCTCGGCCTATGTGGTCCCAGGCCCGGGCACCGAGGACTTGGGCCTGGTCTTTGGGGACTTAGGCTAGGACACTCGCCTCTTAGGCCTAGCCTCAATAGACCAAGGCTCGAGTGTCGATGACTTGAGCCCGACCGCCAGGGACCCGGGTCACTAGGGTTCCCGACCTAATAGGTTCCTCGGCCTGGCCTCTGCGGACTCAGTCCTAGGCCCAAGCATCGGGGTTTTGCATTCAAACTTTGTGCACTACACCAGTGACCGGATCCCTAATTCATTCCTAAAACTTTACAATTGTAATTTAGTCCTAAACATTTTAATGATTTAGTAAATGTAATCTTTTCGACTAATTTTGATTGGAAATTGCTGATATGGATGTGCTATCATATGTAAAGACGACTACATCGATACATGACAATTTTTACATATCTTTTAGATTTTATCAATTATTTATAAATATTTATTTTATTTTCTTTCTTTCTTTCTTTCTTTTGCTCATCGGACTCAGTAGGAAAAAATTGAATAGAAAGAAAGAAAATTACAAGAATAAAAAAATTATAAAAAATTCATAAAATTCTAAAAAAATTATAAAAATTGTCAACGTCAACACTGGCCACCCGGTCATGCCACATAGAATAACCGGTGTCCACGTCAGTGATTTCAGTCAGAATTGGCTAAAAGGATTACATTGACAAATCGTCAAAAGATTTAGGACTAAATTTGCCAAATTGAAAAATTTAAGACTCAATTGGTATCTCTATAATAAGTTTATGACTTTTTTGGTAATTATCCCAAAAGAAAAATGCAGAGTGCGATAATCTAATACTTTTAGAAATAAAAAAGGAGGGTTAATTGCAAAAGAAATCCTCAAAGGTCCATTGGAAGTTTCCCATTTCTTTTTAGGTGCCTTCTTTTTTTACTAAAAAAAAAGCAACTTTGTTTTATTTTCGAAATATTTGAAACCTTTATTGAAATTTCAAGAAACTTTAAAAAGATTATCCAACTTATAGGAGGGACTAGGCCTAAGGGCCCTGCCCATACTTCATAGAACGTACATATCATTTAGGGGTGTACATGGTCCGGGTGGGCGATTCTTACCCTAGAACCGGGAACCGCCCACTAAGGACCAGTTCTTAAAAATTGGAATCGGGAACCACCCGTTGGTTCCATTGATCCACCTGGGAACCGGACCACCAATCCGGTCCGGTTCCCGGGTGGATCCATGGAACCAGTCATACCAAGCTTCACATGTCGACATTGTAATATGCAACAAAGAATTATGCAACGGGAAGAAATGATTTTGGAATAATTAAAATTATACATCATCAATATGTTCATACTACTATCGTTTTTATTGATTTGGGGTAATTGATGTGGTGCAGCATCATTTCTGTGGTATTGAACATTATTCACATATGGCCTTGTTTATGCGGATATTAAAGTGAACATGAAGATTTGAAAGACCTGTGGGTAAATAAAGTTAAACGAGAAAAGAGAGAGATGGACAGATCCCTTACCATTCTGTCAAAGCTTTTCTATATGTTATTATCCCACCTTCGCCGATTACTATCAAGAAAGCATGGGCTTTTGCTTAGTCTGTGCATCGACTAATAAGAGTGAGAGAGTGAGAGTATTGAGTGAGTTTCACATTTAGGGATTTAGGATTTTTCTTTCTTTTTTTAAAAATTAAAAATTAAAAATAATATATAATATATAATATTATATTACTGGTCCGGTTCGGGTGGGTGGGCGGGCGGTTCTACACCTGGAACTGAGAACCGGACCAGTACCCACCGGTTCCAATAATTTGGAACCGGGAACCGGATCGGTTCCCTTAGGAACCACCAGTTCTGAGCCAGTCCGATCCAATTCTGGGCGGTTCCCGGTTCTTTTGCACACTCCTAATATCATTACCCAAAATTGGACTTAGTGAGTCAATAGCAGTAATCTTGTGATTGCATAAGCTGGGCAATAATGTAAACCTTGGTTTGGTTTCGATTAGGGCTAGACTGAAAATGAAAGATATTTATGAACTTGTGATTTGACAGGAGAGATTAAACCCAAGGGGGACCCCAAATCCCCCATTAGGATACGTGAAATTTTGCCAGGTCATCACCTCGTGTGAATATGAAATGTGCCGGACAATTATAATTGTATTGAATAAATGCAAAGAGACATCGTTGCAACCTGTTTTAATTAAGATCCACCTTGATGTCCTCCTTCCCCACCACCCGCTTGTGGGATTAAACAAGTGCTTAATTTGTCCATGAATCACACAATTTATTGAAGGACGTGTTTTGCTCTCATACCATGTCTAATCACTGAATCCATTTCACATCGATCAAGCCTCTCGGTAAGGAACGATCATGTGTCAACACACGGTAACGACCCACTTAGCGGTAGATCTTATTTATAAACCGCCAACATGGACTCTTTCTTCACATGTGAGACTCTTGTATATCACCAAAGTATAACTATCATGAATTTTTTGACCTTGATCGATTTGATCATTGGAGTAACATATGTCGTCAATACATAGAAATCATCAATTAAACACATTACATATATACCATCATAGTCAGAAGAAGACTTGTTTCAATATATTCTACTATTGGTTGTGCATGCTTGCTTGAATATGTGCATAGGCGCTTAGGTCACGCATTCATCCTCTAGGCCCGTTTGATTTCAATCTTGATTTTACTTATTTTTGGCCAGATTCATCCCATCTCGGTTAAAAGAACACAAAAAGCAAACCCATCAAAGTCCCACGCCACGTCAGCTGCTCCAAACCCAACCCCGACCCAAGTGCCACGTCATATAGAAAGCACCAGCTGAACACTTGCTGGACCGCCCCACACCCAAATCCTTCTCTCATGATATATTTTTTTAAATTGGGCAACAAAAACAAAAACAAAAAAATTTGCAATAAAGTTAAATTAATAATTATTATTTTCATTAATTAGGTTTTTTTTGGATAAGTGCATTCAAAATCTTAAAACTTGTCACGAAAGTATAATTGAGTCCTAAAATTTTCATAATATGCAATTAAGTCCTAAAACTTGTTAGAAAAGTGCAATTGAGTTCTAAAATTTTCAAAAAATGTAAACAAATCCTAAAACTTGTCACGAAGCAAATAAGTCTTAAAATTTGTCAAATTAGTTCAATTAAGTCTTTCTATTGATTGCATTTTTTGAAAGTTTTAGACTTGATTGCACTTTTATAATAAATTTTAGGACTTGATTGCATCTCCGTGATAAGTTTTAGGATTTAATTATATTTTAGTTACAAGTTTTAGGACTTAATCTCATTTTTTGAAAATTTTAAGATTTAATTATATTTTCCTGACAAGTTATAAGACTTTTTACGTACTTATCTCTTTATTTTTTTTATTTTTTTTTTAGCGCAGCTCGACCTTTTGCACTGAATCTAATCTGCCAGGTCAAGCAAGAAAATTTCACTCCCTCGCTTCCCTCCTCCTCTTCAAAACACACATCCCCCTCGCAATCTCTCTCGCTCTCTGAAATTCCTCTGTTCCTTCCGTCACAGCCCAAGAATGTCGGTCCCCAGTTCGCTCCGCCTCTGTTCCTCCGTTTTCGTCCTTTGACGCACGAATCTTGGGTTTTGGGTTTCGAAAAATCCGAATCCCTGTTTCGGGTCGCAGTCAGCGCTCTCCCCGTTCGTGCTTCCGTGAGGAGAAAGAGCTTCTTGCGCGCGGCGTGGGAGATATGGAAGGAGGAGGGCAGTACAATCCTCGGACTGTGGAGGAGTTCTTCAGGGATTTCAAGGGTCATCGAGCCGGTATGATCAAAGCTCTAACCACTGGTCTCTCTCTCTCTCTCTGGTTGAGTATTTGTTGGTATATTCTCTTGTGATTTCACATTGGTCGAATTGAGAATTGGGTTTGGTCTGTCTGGTGGTTTTACTTTCTGGGTATTCAAGATTTGCGAGTGCTGACGTTTTCTTGTTGTTGTTGTTGGGTTTCTTGTTGCAGATGTCGAGGAATTCTATCAGCAGTGCGATCCGGGTTAGGGTTCTGATCCGCTTACTCTGTATTATAGTTAGAACTTTATCGGGGAAAAATAAATAAAGAATATGGTATTGCATTGCTTGATGTCAGACATTTTGCTGTGGCAGTAGATTTCACTGTCTCGCGAGTTCTTTGTAATGGAGATGTTTTTGCAAGTTTGGTTCTTGAGCTTAATGATGCAGTTTTTTTCTCCTTTTGGGACGGTTGCATTGTGGTTATGACAGTAAAGAAGTGTCGAGGGATCGGGCTTCTTTAAATTCTTTATTTCACCATTTCTTGGTCTTGAGAGTAGACATTTGGTATGGAATGTGCAAGTTGAGCTTCTAGTGCAAGCTGCAGGTTAGTCATTTTGTTCCGTAGGAGCTTAAATTCGCAGCCTGTTGACTGACTTCTAAGTGAATTGGCTCTTTTTACACAGTTGAATTCTCTCCCTCGCTTTGTTTTTCGGGTTTTCTCTTTGCTTGGCAGATGTGACTAGTAATTCTCTTAGATGGCAGAAAACCCGATTTGCTTAGAATAGTTTGTCTTTAAATCTACTAGACTACTCTAGAGCTTCCATCTTTCGTAACTGTTGCCACCTCCTTAGCTCTCCAAATAAGCCTCTTAACCATATAACTTCTTTAACAGCCTCTGTAATAGCCATATACTCTGTCTCTGTAGTAGACAAAGCAACTGTATGCTGTAAAGTAGCTTTCCAACTGACTGCGCAACCTCCAATAGTAAAGATGTACCCAGTCAAAGACCTCCTCTTATCAAGGTCACCAGCATAATCAAAATCAACATATCCTATAAGATTGTCACCAGTTTTACCAAACTCTAAACCAAAATTAGAAATACTATTCAAATATCTCAAAATCCACTTCACATCTTGCCAATGAGCTTTCCCTAGGCATGATAAATATCTACTTACCATGCTAACAACACGTGAAATATCAAGTCGAGTACAAACCATGGCATACATAAAGCTGCCAACTGGGTAAGTTGGTTACAAGTTGGGTAAGTTTTTATGTGTAGTTAAAAGTAAATTTGAAATGTTTTTTTGCAAATGGGTGAATTTGTTGTTGAGGAAATGAATAAGGAAAAGATTGGGCCCTCGACCTAAACATACAAAATTCGTGAAATTTCACTTTCACCACCCTCCCAAGAAACAATGGAAATTGAAAAAAAAAATTGGATGATGGCACTAGAAGTATATGCATCTCTCTCTCAATCAATCAATCATTTCAACTTTTGTATTTCAACTTTTGTTTGATTAGACGACTCTTTTGAAACCGATGAATTAAACTATGTACATTTCTTCACCAGATCTATAAGTTAGTCGTGACAATTTTCTAACATTTTTATGTCCAGTTAATGATCCACACGAAATTTAGGGATGGGAAATGGAGCTGGTAGGACAGGATACCCAATCCATCCAAACCCTAATTGGACGTAAACGTGTCTTGAATTTCGTGTAGCGAGATGGGTTTGGGATCAATTGTCAAAACCCTTGTGAGGTTTGAGATGGATTTGGGATTTATAGATAGGGAATCCGATATCCCAAACCCGATATGTTCTTATTACTTTATTTCCTTATCGTCTTTAGGTTTTTTTTTTTTGGTCAAAAATCGTCTTTAGGTTGGTTATGTAGCAAATAAACATAAGTATTCCAACTCTACCAAAGTTTGGAACGTTTTTTAGACTTACATGACAGATAAACTAAAAACCTAAGCTCTTTAAATCATTGACCAAGCTACTCTTACTCCATTAATATAGTTAGGCTTCATTTGTTTCGTGAAATTTTTTTCTCATTGTCCGGCATTTGGATCGCTTAGGAAAATGAGTTAGCAAAAACTTATGTTTAAATTAAAGAAAATGATTTCCTTTTTAAAAAATCGAAAATCACTTTTCAAAATATGACTAGATATTGGCGTTTCAATAAAATTTTTTGCAATTGGGCATGTAAATTATAACACTCGTTCCTGAGTCTCCAGCGCTTGAGCCTAGGTCCACCAAGGCTAGGCGAGCGACCCTAGTGTATTTGCCCGAGTCCCTGACGCCCGCACCCAGATCCATCAAGACTAGGCCCAGGAAGACCCTAGTGCCAATGCTCGAACCCAGGTCCATCGACACTAGGCCTGAGGCCCGATGCCAAGGCCCAGGTCCACAAAGGCCGAACATGGGACCCCAGTACCCTAGTATCAGGGGCGCCAACACTTGGGCTCAAGTCCTTGGCACCCGAGCCTAAGTCCACAAACGTCGTGCCTAGGTCCCCGACACTTGGGCTTGGGTCTTCAATGCCTATGCTTGGATCCCCCGTGCTTGAGCCTAGGACTTTAGTGTCCGTGCTCGGGTCCGGGCTAAAGCCCATATCCATTGATGCTAGGCTCGGGTCCCGATGACCAAGCCCGATTGTCATGGTCCCATAATCAACCTCGTTGGACCTAGGCATAGGCGACGGGAACCCAAGGCCAAACTGCTGGCTTTTCACAGCCGTGAGTTCTCCCTATCCTGTCATGAAAATATATGTTATGTTTTTTTCTCAGTCCTTTTCTTCACAAGCAATTTCATAGAAGGGTTCTTCAAAAGTAGCACTCTTCTCCCTCTATCTCGGTCTCAGTGTCTTGTGATCTCACCCTCTCCCTCTCGCGGTCTCACCCTTTCCCTCTCTCTCTCTCTCTCTCTCTCTCTCTTGCCCTCACCCGACGGTGAGTTTTGTCGCTCTTTTGCTGTAAAAGTTCATTATTTATTTGAAATTATCACCGTAAAAAATGTGACATCCTCAAATTTGACCATATTCTGGATATAATGAATGGTTAATTCATCAATGTGCAATTATTAGAATTAGACTCTTAATCGATTCAAGAATTACTCAAGAGTATTCCAAGCTACAGGAAAGGCAATTTAGGACTTCGATGCGCATGACCAAATAACTCAATCATGTATTGACAATTTGACCATAAGGATCGATGAGGGATCCTCATAAGCCATTTCAAGTCGATCCAGGAATGGTTAGAGCTCGATTCGGCAATAGTATATAATCGGATTACGGGTGTTTCCGCACGATTACTGTATTGATTCCAAACGACACTAAACCAATCCCTAATGATCGTATACTTCAAAACGGGCAATTGACCCCTATCGATTACATGACAACCGAGGGTCATCCATGAATTGAAAAGGCTTAAACGTAGATTGAATTGGAATCAACAACGGGTTAAACGTACGAAATCCCTAAGAGTCGCCCATAGTTCTAATTATGCGAATGACGCATTTGAGTGATTTTAACCACGAATTCTAATCTAGTTGAGGGTATTGGACTCTAGAGGATTAAGAGACAATTATTGGATAAATTCTGGGAATCGCCTATTTATCGGTAAATCGAGAAACCTTGGAAAAGTGAAATTCGGGCTCTTTGGCCCAAAGGAGGAGAGCTGGCTCGCTTGTTCAACATTCCCGGTGAACAAGGAGTAAATTCTGCTCTAAGTATAGGTTAATGGAGTTCAGCACCAACCAAATACATCTGCGGTTCAACAATATGAGCGCAAAGCTGTTCAACGAATTTACAGTACAGTCAAGATAATCATCCGAAAGAAGTGGAAATCGTGAAGTACTTGATGCTTCACTAATCATCAAGCCTTAAGCATTTTCCTGGACTAACAATCTTTCAACCAAATCGAAGCTAATGATACACTGAAAGACTAATCTGAAATACGACACTAAGTTTTACCGCCTTAGAAGAATTGAAAAGAAATATAGAAGCACAGGTTATGAAAGATCGAATCTGATCAAGCACAAGAAGTGCGGTGACTTCACACTCGGCATTTTTGAGATTATAGATGTTAATGTCTAGATGTCCCAGTTTCGAGCGAGGAACACAAACATCCGGGGTGACACGCTAATCAAGAGAAGAAAGAAGTAGGCGCTTACTTGCAGCAAACTAGGAACTTGCTGGACGAGTCAAAGCCGTCCATTAGTAGCTGCCGATCCGATATAGCTGATTTGAACTTCTTGAGGGAGCAGACGATACTTAATATCAAGTTCTTCAAAGATTTTCTTGAGTTGCAACACAAGCTCGGATCTGCGGCTGTTCTTATCACCGTAGTTTTGGAAATTGATCGTGTGAGTAACGTAGAGGCCCAACTTCAACTTGTTAACATCCTCGATCTCCTTAACCACAACATTATGACCCGGACGCCAGTGTTTAGGCTTGCTTTCCAAGTACCTGACATTTATACCCAATGAATGCCATTCAATCGAATGAATGCACAAATATTCGTATAGAAGAGCATATTCAACAGTTCTAATGTCCATCTATCTTCTCTATAAAAGAAATAGGGACGTGACTATTTTTTGTGAACTTTGATAAGCTACATCTTGAAGAGTCAAAAGCATAAACTTTATCACAAAAAAGATGCAAAAGCATTACTAAAATTGCAAGCCTATTTGATGTCTCGTGCATATTAGAAAATATCTTGATATGAAATAACTTATATCGATGACTTCGCCTTTTCTATTGTGTAGCTGTGCCTTTCTTCATATTAAAAAGGGGCTGCTCTATTTCCATATAGGTTTCACAAAAGCCCAATGCTTACACCGAATTCTAAACAAGGACACCATCCAGACTGATAATGAATGAATATCCGCAATTCATAATAGGTTTTATGCCACATCTCATCATACTCGACACAATTAATCATGCATGCAAAATATACTGCCTAAATTTGAGATGCAGAGACTGCAGAAGACATACGTTTTAATTCTAGATTTTAGATCTCCAATCTTTTCGACTGAAGTAGAGAAGTCAACAGTGAACTCCACCACGTCGCTCATTTCTGGGCTCCTATAGAAATTGCTGATAGGTTTAGTTGCCAAAACTGAATTTGGGTAGAATATCTTTTCACCGTCATATCTCAAGAAGATTGTAGTCAATATATTCATCTCTTCAACCACCATCTGCAAACGAATCAAAACGTCAGCCAAAATGTTGCCCGACACAATATAGTCTCTTAGAGTTGTAGGATTAATAAGTCACCTGCACTCCATCAATTACACAACGGTCACCCACATCAAACGGATGCATTACAAAAACGAATATGATGGCTTCGAAAACGGTTTTGGCTGTGTTACCGAACATAAACACCACAAGCAAAAGCTGAGATGATATGAAGACGAGTACTTTTGTCGTCATAAATCCCATCAAAAGTAACCAGATAATGATGATCACAATAAGCAAAACCGCTGAAGCAAGGTTATTCAGCTCGTCTATGGCTGTTTTCGTGTCGTTTAAGGAGAGTGCAAGAGATTTACGTTCAAGGTACACATTTACCTGCAATGGAAAATTACATTGTCAGCTCCACAAGTTAAATAATCATCTCAATGGCCTGTGTCAAAAATCTTAAATTGTCTGTTTTGATGTCCGAGAACCTTCCCAAGGATGAAGCACTCAATGGCTCATTCCTCTTTGGTTAACTCGTGGACCTAGGGAAGTACGTACCCTTCATCCAAGTCTGAATGAATACTTTTGGTTAGAGTATAGTTTCATGTGCATGCTAGTACAAAAATCAAACTCTGGGCCTCAGATGCATGGTCTGAGTACGCTCTTAGGATCTCACCAACTCAAATAGGTAAAAAATCTTGCAAATTTTTTAACTCCAAAAGACCCAAATCTTTTGTTACGAACTTCATAACAGAAATGGTCAGAGATTCCAATTGAGAAGCATGGAATAATGGGAAATCATTCAGTGAACCACACCGGGTAACTAATTGCACAATACTCATTCATGAGTTTCCTAATGAAGTAGCATATGACAAAAATTGCTCCAAGCGAAGTGAAAGTTATTAATAAACCACTGGACTGAGAGGAGAATATGGGGATGGTCGTGATAGTAAAATGGAGATTTTCAGAAATGGGAAAACATTCTAGAGGGCTACGAGCTAGAATTGAAATGCAACCTTAAATCCTTAGCATGTTCTTACCAGCCAATTCTTCAAAGATGATCTCCTGATCTTCCTAGTTTCCACTGCTTCTGGAAACAGCGGGATTACGTTGTCAACATCTTCCTTCTTCATGAAGCGCAAAAGATCCTCCTCTTCAATGAACCTAGTAAAAGCATAATACAGGAATCAGAAACGGATTCGAACAAAAGTCCGTCTATAACACAAGAAATAGTCAGACATTAGGTCTTCTCACTTGCTCCCGGGCTTCGCTACATTCCTGAATATCTGATAAGCAGCAGCCCTGGCCTCCCATTCATTAGTGATCTCCCTATCTTGTTGCTTTGCCTCCTCGTCATCACTTTGTTCAAGGCTCTCAGCAAGAGTTGACAGCCCCGACACGCTAATGACATTAATCAACCCTTTCATGGTCCAAGCAGAAACTTTATCTTGCTTTATCTTATGCAACTTCTCAACATCAATCACCTCCGCTTGCTTCTTAGCTCCCTCTTTATTGTATTTCATAAAACTGAGTTGGCCACTACTTCTCGATCTACCAACCATTTCGGCCATCTCCATCAGTGGCAGGCCTGAAAGGGTCCTGACAATGTACTGGTGAAAAAGCGACTCTTGGATGCGATCGAAGAACCTCGTGCATTGGAATGAAGAAGATAGTAACTTTATCAACAGGGTCTTGATCAACCATATGGCAGCTCCAATAAGACAAGAAGCAAGAGCCCTTGTAACGTAATTCAGAATCTTTTTCGTGGGCCTTGATCGCTTGACTCCATGATTTATTAATAAGGCCCAAGCTAAAAGAACCAAACCTAACCAGATAAATGCCTGCACACCCTTTTTCAATCCATACACAAAGTACAGAACCTTCTTTTTGAGCAAAAATTCCCTTTCAATCAAGCAGACCACTATATTGATCAACCACTCAGTCACTAGCCTACCACAAAAAATCACCAACACCAGCAGACACCATCTCCACAATCTCAATCCCCAAATACAAGTATCTCGCAGCTTGTGAACAGTTAAACTTGTGATCAGAAGTCCCATGATGCACACAAATGCAACCCACTCAACCAAAATTACCTTAGGAAACTTCTTACCAGACATTTGTTGGATCTTCAAGTTTGCAGTCTTGTACGCCTCTTCATCATCTTCCTCCAGCACACATCATTTCCACAGCTCCAACTCCCAAATATCAGTCTTTCGCAGCTTATGAACAGTTAAGCTCACAATCAGAAGTCCAGTGACACAAATGAACGCGACCCACTCGGCCCACATAAACATGTTGATGAAATTTTCCCAGCAGCATACGTGTTCATCACCTTCCGCGGCCGTAGCCTTTGACAGAGGTTGCTGTGCGGTGTCCTGCACGGTTATTGTATGATTCTCTTTAGCAGCACCAGCACTGGTGCCATTGCAAGGCGAACCCACTTCAGGGGAACACCTGCAGGGAGACTGCGAATTCTTCAGTCGGGTCTTGTCATCCTTGACCGAAGTGGCGTCGCTAGGATGCACCAGTTCTTCAGATCCCGACTTGCGGGACTTCTCTTCAGCAGGATTAGCTGGAGCTGCGCTCGATAGAGGGATTCCTTGATCAGAAGGGCTTGTTACATAGGAACTTTGCACTACGGATGGGACATTGTCGAGCTCTGCCGGCCCAGGATTTGGTGCCGGCAAAGAATCCTTCCTTTGAGACTTGCTAGCTGCAAGCACGAGAACCACATCCTGTGTCTCCATGAATGTTTTGCTCTCGACAAACTCTCAACAATCGGTCACGAGAAACGACACTCCGACCCGAAAGGAGAGTGCAGAGTCACCTGAACCTCAAATGGATCAAAATCACAAGAAGACAGATTGAAAGAAATGAACAACCCGGAAAAAAAAAAGAAGCAGCAGAGAAGAAAGCGAGAGCGAGTTGGAGCGAAAGGACGATGGCGAAACGAGCGGAGATTCGGGGGCATATGAATGGGGCAGAGGAGAGGGCTTTAGCTTCAAGCGAAGGTCCGCGGGAAATTCTATTCAAATGACAGTTAATAGTCGAGGTCTGCGGGAAACTCTATTTAATTTCAAATGACCTTCTAAGGACAAACGTTTGGTCGTTCGGTCCATTTAATATTTGGATTGATCGACAGGTTGTATGCTTAAAAAAATAAGACCTCAAGATTTGTGATCTAATCATCAGATCACTGTTTAATAGATTCGGAAACTCTAAATTTAGACGATAAATTTCGTATTTCAATATAGGGTTAATACCACCAAAAACTTAAAACTATGCTACTTGTGACATATTTACCCATAACATTTTTTCGTGAAACCAAAAATCTCAAACTATGCCTATTGTGATACATTTACCTCAAACTTTTTTTTGTGACACCAAAAACCTCAAACTATGCACTTTGTGACACATTTACCCCAAACTTTTTTTTCCTGGCAAAATCACTGTTCATCGTCTTCTAGCTCGGTCGGAGCTTGTCCGTCGAATGCGTTCACTGAGTTCATCGCCGACCCGACCACCACCAGCCCCACCGTCGCCTTCCGTGCTGCTGGCCTCCGCCCCGACGCCTCCCTCCTCTCCATGGCGGCCTGGGAAGGGCTGTGCGAGGGCGACCCTCTCCGGCAATAGGCGAGGGACGGCCTCGTCGGCCAGGGGCGAGGCAACCCTCGCCCTAGGCGAGGCCGTCCTTGCGGGCCATGGGCGAGGCTGGCCCTCGCCAGATCTAGGCGAGGGTCGCCTCGCCGGCAATAGGCAAGGACGGCCTCGCCTGCACGAGGCGACCCTCGCCCTAGGCGAGGCCGCCCTCGCCGGCCATGGGCAAGGGTCGCCTCGCGCAGGAGAGGCCGTCCTTGCTTGTTGCCGGGGAGGTGACCCTCGCCTAGATCTAGAGAAGGGCCGGCCTCGCCTGGGTGAGTTCATGCCTCCCTTGTTGCCGGCGAGGATCGCCCTCGCACAGCCCTTCCCCGGCCGCCATGGAGAGGAGGGAGGCGTCGGGGCGGAGGCCGGCGGCGCGGAAGGCGACGATAGGGCTGGTGGTGGTCGGGGCGGAGGCCGGCGGCGCGAAAGGCGACGATAGGGCTGGTGGTGGTCGGGTCGGCAATGAACTTGGCGAACGTGTTCGACGGACGAGCTCCGGCCGAGCGAGAAGGCGATGAACAGTAAATTCGAAGATGATGAACATTAACTCGTGATGAACAATGCAAAGTTTTCTTGGAGAAGATGATGTACAGTGATATTGGCCGGAAAAAAAAGTTTGGGGTAAATGTGTCACAAAGTGCATAGTTTGAGATTTTTGGTGTCACAAAAAAAAATTTGGGATAAATATGTCACAAGTGGCATAGTTTGGAGTTTTTGGTGGTATTAACCCTTCAATCTATCCCCCAAAAAAATGAGGCGTTACCGCATTAATTTTCGACTGATGTGTGTTCTCCATTTTTTTTTTTCGCTTTGTCTCCTCCTTGTTACCTGATCACATCCTCCACCTCTTTGTCCACCGTTCCCTCCGCACAAACACACGCGCAGACATAACATATTGGATTAATACCACAAAAAATTCCTAAATTCGTATGCTCAAACTGTGATTATCACAAACTAATTTTTGTATCATAAAAAATCATATACCGGTGCACACTTAACAAATCTACCATTCATTAGATTTTGTCTGTATCTTGTTAAATTGTTGATGTGGAAACGCACCCGGTGGAAATTCAACATAAATTGATCTCCTAAACAACGTTGTTTTGAAAGCCAGTTTTGAATAAAATGAATTAAGTTTGAGAAATGTGCTAAGATCTGCAAAATTTTTCCCTAAGCTCACTTCGCTAAAATCTACTAAAATCCCTAATTTTATTCCAGTTTTGCCCTATGGTAAATTTGTCAGGGATGTATTTGTTGAGATTTCCGACATAAAAATTAGTTTGCAATTAATGTGGCACGAGTGTACCAATTTCAAATTTTTATGAATGAAAATTAATTTAAGATAAATATGGTATATGTATTTAAGAATTTTTTTATGGTTATAACTCTATATTTAGAGATAGAGAGAGAGAGAGATGGGCAAGGACAACGATGGGCTAGAGCAACGACAGTCATGGCCCTCCCTCCTTGTCCTCACCCTTCGATGTTATCTCTAATTTTTTTTTGTTAATATCACGAAAAATCCTAAATTGATACATTAGTGATAATTTTACCACAAATTAATTTTTTGACCACAAAAAACCAAAAATCGGTACACCTGTGACAAATTTACTTTTCGTTAGTTTCTGTTAAATTCTTCGTCAAATTGATAAATTGGATGACATGTGGTAGTTGATGGGTATACCAATTTGGGGTTTTACCTTTTTGTTTGTCACAGGTTTATCAATTTGTGATTTTTCGTGGTATTAATCCAATTTAACGGAAGGTAAATTTTTCATAAGTGTACCAGTTTGGAGTTTTGGGGGGTCAAAAAATTAGTTTGGGATTTTTGGTGTTCAAAAAATTAGTTCGAGATAAATTTGCCACACGTGTACCGCTTTGAGGTTTTTCATTGTATTAATCCAAAATTTTTAAAACTTTTTTTAAATTTAGTATTTTATTTTTTTTTATTTTGATGTGGCATCTATTTGTTAGGAGTGATCGGTTTCCGATCCAATCTCATCCCACCCAAAAATCGAGAACCAATCTGATTCTCATGCGGCCGATTGGAACTAGGACAGGCCGAGTCGGCTTACTCGTGTCAAGTTTGGAAAGAGAACCGAGGATGGGTCCGATGAAGCAATTGCTAGAGAGGTTGAGAGTCTGGAGGTAAGAGAGATGTTAAAATTATATCTCGATTTTAAGCCGTTACGAAATCCGACCCGAATTAGATGAATATCCAAGTTTGATAAATAAATATAATCATTGATGGGAGCTTCTTATACGGTGAAAGCAAAGATGAAGGGACTCCATGGCACTACAAGACAAAAGGGGATAACTTTATTCTAATATTATTGTGAGGGGTGAAGAGGTCTTGACGAGAAAAAGACAAGAAGCGTGGGGAGTGAGAATTTAATGCGTGGTGAGAGGGAGTGCAAACTACAAAGTGGGGCAACAACATCGGCAATGGCAATGGCAATGGCAATGGCAATGGCGGAGAGGGCAGAGAGAGAGAGAGAGATGCTGTCAACTCGGTCCGAGCGGTTCGGTTCGATCCGATCCAATTTTGCCCTTAGAATCAGGAATCGGACTGGCACTGCCGGAAATCGGATCGAACCGGACGATCCAGGAGGTTCCCAGTTTGATCGGTCCGTCTTGCTTGTCTCTATTATTTGCACCACACAGTAGCACATGTTCGAAAATAAGGTAAATCTAATAAAAAGTTGGGTTAATACCATGAAAAACTTCAAACCGGTACACTTGTAATAAATTTACCTCAAATTAATTTTTTGACCACAAAAAACCCCAAACTGGTACATCTGTGATAATTTTACCCTCCGTTAGTTTCCGTTAAATTTCACCGTTAATTTTCTGAGTCGGATGACATGTGGCAATTGACGTGTGTAACAGTTTGGGGTTTTACCATCCGTTTGTCACATGTATACTAATTTGTGATTTTTCGTGGTATTAATTCAATTTAACGGAGGGTAAAATTGTCACATGTATACCGGTTTGGAGTTTTTGGTGGTCAAAAAATTAGTTTGAGTTCAATTTATCACAGGTATATTAATTTGAGATTTTTCGTGGTATTAACTCTAAAAAGCCCCCACATAGATTTCCCATCCTAGAAAATTTCACAAAAAGATGACTAACATAGAGAACGGCTGCAAGTTATAGGACTTAAATACACGAATCGAAAGCTTTAGGACTCGAGGGCCGGATCGGGCAAGTTTTAGGACTCCTGCTCTAATTGTCTTTTCTTACTATCACGCGCCAAAAACATTTCTTTATTTCACTAAACTCTGTGTAGACACAGAATAAAAAATAACAACGCGCAAATGGCGAGGAAGCATCACCTTGTATATTTTTATCATCGTCAGCCATTAGCTTACTCTTTTGTTTTTTCTCTTTTTTTTTTTTTCTGGGCACAGATCTGAAGGTGGTTGAGGTGACGAAAAACTAAGATTGATTGACAATGAGTGAGGGGATGTAAATGGGGGCAGAAGAGAGGGCTTCAGCTTCAAGCGAAGGTCCACGGGAAATTCTATTCAAAGGACACTTCATAGTCGGCAAAGTACACCACAAAGTCGCCATAACTCGCAGACGAGCATCACTGCGCCATAACTTTTTCGATCACTTTGGACCAACTTTTTGAAAAACGATCACTTTGGTGCCAACTTTTTGAAAAACGATCACTTTAGTGCCAATGCCGACACTGGCCACGGAAATCTGACGCTGGCTCTTTTTTTTTATTAATTTCCGACCGACGTGGCTCACGGAAATCTGACGTGGCTTTTTTTGGCCGGAGTCACTAAAGTGATCTTTTTCTCCGATTTTGGCATCAAAGTAATCCGAAAAAAAGCTTACGCACCAAAGCTCGATCTCCGTACACAAGCTTACGGCACCAATAATGTCCTTTGCCGTTCATAGTCGAGGTCTACGGGAAACTATATTCAATTTCAAATGACCTTCAAAAGACAAACGTTTTGGTCGTTCGGTCCATTTAATATTTTGGATTGCTCGACAGGTTGTATGCTTAAGAAAATAAGGCCTGAAGATTTGTGATCTAATCATCATAATAGATTCGGGAATTCTTAATTCAGCCGATAAATTTCATATTTCAATT